TAAGTTCCTGTCTAGAGTATCAAAAAGGGGTTGTCTTGGTAAGTGATTTAAGGGCTTATGCCTAGTAGAACTCTCACACTTAAATGCAAGAAAACAAATATATTATTGGCCATTAACTTGTAAAAGGTCCAAAATTTGAACTGTTTATGTTGTAATCAAATAGCAAATTTTTTTTTGTTTAATACTAAAACATGATTTGATATCGAAATGCAATAATGATGGTTAGATTGCTAGTCATTAGTGAAATACGAATTCTTGCGCTTTTTAAGGTATTCAAGATCAGCAATTTTGGAGAGTGTCGGATCAGATGGTAAGGTGGAATAATTGTAAATAAAGAGTCTTGAATTCAAAACCTCTCACTTATCAAAAAAAAAAAAATACGATAGCAATTTTATTTGAATAAAAAGTAGTAATAGTAAACCCAATAAATATTAGTAGGACGAGACAAGTTACTCCTAAAAGTAAAACAAAATTCCAACGTCAACCTAAAACATAGTTGCATGTTACCCCAAAAAGGCAAAGAGACAATCTCCTCAACTCCCAACCCCCAAAACTAAAAACAGTGCATCTTAAACTACACACTTAGAACATCATAAAGTAACCAAAAAGAAAAAAAAAATATTAAAAAGAAATGAAGTTTCCCATCCATCCCATTTCCCTCCCTCTTTCTTTTTCTCCCAATTTCCACCCCCAAAATTTGAAATCCAGTCTGGACCCAACTCCCAATGACTTCTGCCGAGACTCCCGGCAAAGGAAATCATTTTCCACCCAACCAACACATCAAAAACAAAATAAAATAAAATAAAGATATAAAGGAACAATTTTTTTTTTCTTAACAAACGGTCACACCTATATTATCCTACCTTAACAAGAAGAATGAACCTAATTAAGTTAATTAGAGAGGGTGAGAATGCGCACCTGCTAGATTTTTCTTAATTATAGAGTTTGGAATTTTTAAACTTCTGGGTGTGCGTGCAGAGTTTAAACTGTTAATCTATATTTTTAAGAATAATTTTAAAGAGATTTAATCATCAACGTGGTCTTGAATTTATTCTCAAGAAAAAAGTGAAAAAGTTCCTTGTGACAAGTAGTCGAATTACAAATCTTTCATCCCTCTCTCCTTTTTAAATCTCGACCCTTCTCTGCTTATTTTTTTTTTTTTTTTGTTGACACAGATGCTGTCCGGATCAATCCTACTGGCAGCGTCCGATAATCCTCTGCCTTGGCCGGGCTCCGTGTTAGAAATAAAATTATAAAAATTTTCTTGTTCTGCATATAAGGGGAGCGTTCAAACTCACTCTACACTTTACTAATATCCAGCGGAGCGAAATTCGAATTCCCAAGAATTCCTCCTTGTAATTGTTTATTCTCCTGTGCGGTTAGCCTTAGAAATTCAATTCGCGGAATCAGCTTCTAAAAAGCTGAGAAATGCTCGCCCGTGAAATCTTTTCTGCTTTTCTTTCCTTCGCCACCCCACCAATGGGAATGTTCGTACGGCCACCGTAACTTCTTCCATCCCCCATCCCATTGTGCGCCATATCTCTATTTACAGAACGTTTCGTCGCGGCGCCCGCTCCAAACGTTCGTACATAACGGTTCAGTTTCCTACGTGGCCCTATGCCAGTTAACATCACGAGTACTTATCCCTCCTCGCCCAACATTTACTACCGTTTAGTAACCGTTATACTAAATAGTTCTGGACGATAAATGACTAATTGCTCCACATTTGTCTTTCTGCAACAAGTGTCCTATTACTATACTAATAGTACCTTACACTAATATAAATACTTTCAATTATTGCGTGAACCTAATTGTCAGTATCACCTTATATTTGGTAATGAACCGTTACGCCACTATATAGGGTTTTAGGTTTTGGAAATGTACTAGCGATTGCTTTAAGTTCTCATGCAATCTTGTAAGATAATGGAAGTATAAGCCAACCGTAAAACAGTATTGTAGGTATAATCACCATTTGACGCGTATCACTTGGTTTATTATATACTGGCTTGTTGGGATTCTGCATTTTCTTTAAAGAAAAATTTTCATGCACTGTTCGTAAATGCATTTAATCATCGAATTTTTTACTTCATTATACATCAATTTACTGCGTAGTACTTTTTTCACAAAAATTTTCTAAAAAATCAGCCAAGACAAAATGCGAGATTGTTTTGTAACTTCTTTGAAGAAATATGACAATTAGTTATACTTGTTTTGGCTCACGAATATGCGGTATAAATATTTGAGACAGTACATTAAGTTAGAATAATGATAACTAGTACGCTATGTAAATTGTGCCTGTCCAAACACTCAACTCAAAGACAATAAGCGAAGGAAATTGGTCAAACCCTATCAACACCCAACAAATCAAAAATTAAATATTGGCTGGTCAAATTGCTCACAAAAATTTCTTTTCTTCTTTCATAAATTTTGAAACTTGAATCAATCTGCGTTACATTCTTGCGCTATTAGCAATTAACTGTCAATAATTCTGCCTTTTAAAATAAATGAAGAAGGATTATACACCAAATTGGAAAATGCTACTATTACAAATCTTATCTCTCCTAAACTTTAACCATTATGCAAATTTCTTCTATGAATGATCACATGGGCAAATGATGGAGTTAATACAATTTTCTTTATATGATAAAAATCAAGAAATTTCATACTCTATTTGATTTCCCCTTTCTTTCCCTTAAAAAACAAAGGAAAGACACTCTCCATTGCTGTTTTCCAACTTTAAATGTAGCTACACCGATTAAACAAATAATTAGTTTCACTAATGAATAACAACTAGATCGAAACATTTAATTTGAGAAAATAAAATTAGCATAAAAAAGGTACCAATAAATTTACCCCTTGAAATCCTTATTTTCTCATTTGATATTGAAAAGTATCACATCCTATATATATACTTTTTTTGGACAAAAACGATATAAACGATATAAAAAAAAAAAAAAGACCAAGTAGCTAAAAAAGACATACCATAAGGGACAGAGTACAAGGCACGTGAGAGGCAGACTAGGATCACGTGACACGTGGGTTAGCGTCGGTGCGAGACAAAGAAAAGTGATGGCGGTTAGTGGCAGTTAGTTATGGAATGGTTAACTCCTGAAATCTGATGCCATTTAACAGAAAAGGAATCATTTTAAGGGCAAGCAAAAGAAAATTTTATTCTCTCTTTCTACCTTCTCGAAGGAAAATACATATGCTCTTTACAGTTTACAGACATCCTCGTTTCTACTACTACTATCTATTTATCCTAAAAACCAATTAATACACGAGATTTGAGTTTGCTGTTGCATAAGAATTTATTTGGTCATATTATTTGCCATCCAGTTGTAAAATACTGTAGCTACTTACTGTTCACTTGTGATGGCTCTGTATGATAAAGGTTGATTGCGGAATTGTGTGTATTGATTGCAAGTAAAACACAAATCCTTATGAAATAAATCTTGCCACAATTCTTTGTCCAACCAAACCAACTGTAATAATTGTTTTTTTCTCAATTTATTCGAGAATTTTAGTTTTTTATACATTTCTTGAGCTTTCAAATCTTCATAAATATTGCGCAATATTAGACAGCTATATATATGTTCAAAAATATAAAAGTTTCAATTACATATAGTTAGTCCAACATCTTGCCCCTAAATACAGTTTTTATTTGAAAGAGAAAAAAAATATAAAGAAGAAGAAGATATCATGTAATGTGCTTATTCAGTTTTATTTGAAGATACAGTTTTATTTGTCTACTGCGTCTCGTAAAAACCTGTTTGATATCTAATTTCTTCAAATTTTTTCTCATTACTTGAATAACGCATTTTCCAATGATTTACGTCCAACACATGCTAAACGGAGAATACAGGGTTTTTATTGAGAAGCCAGAAATTAAATAGAAGCAAGAAGCTATATCAGCTAAAAGACTCAATCTTGAATAATCTTCTTGTAAAATTATTGTTTCTGTCTTCGTAAAAACTCTGCTTTGGATATTTACATTTCTCAAATTTTTCTATACTTGATAACAACATTCCAAGTGTTTTATGACATCTACTATATCACAAAAATTATTATTTGTAATACACAAAAAAATCTGCTTCTATGAATCAATCCGAATTTTAGCCTATGCAGTATGTCAAAAGTAAAATACGATTAGCAAACACATAATTGTGCAATGTGCCTTTATAAAAAAAGAAATAAACCTCTTAAGACTTGTTTACATCATTATCCAATTAGGCATATGTTTATTATATTTACTTACATTAATAAATAAATTACATTTGTTAAGTCTCAAGAATCGTACAACTATCTACTATTATCGTAACTAGGTGATCAAAACTGAAGTAATGGACTCAAAACAAAAAATAAAAGTGCTGGGGAATAATAAACTGGCCGTCGAAAAAGCTTGCGAGAACGTCTAAGTCAGTTAAGGTGCAATGCAACATTTAGCTAAGGAAGACATCAATCTACACGCATCTTATTTGTAATAAATAAGATGGCTTAATCACGGCAGTTCAAAGTTACGTGATTATTTCTCATAGCTATATCGAGAATAAAAAAGTAGTTAAACGACATGTGACAGACACCTCAGTTCAGATCCAATCAAACAAGAAAATTTCACGGAAGAAATGCCATTGAAGTTGGCAATATAAAACTACGAGTTCTTAATAGAGACCATCAAAATAGTCAGAAAAATTTGATTTATTGATCTCCTTGAGTGTTCCTTAAGGCATCATCATCATTACAAAGAACTAAAAATGATAGCCTTAGTCGCTGATTACCAGTGGGAATAATTGTAACATCTAACCTAGCAACCAATAGCTACTCTCTTGCCTATCCTCAAAAGCCTGTGGCTTGATACTTCTTCTATTTTCTCTGTTGAATATCCCCATTCTCTCTTCTGTTAAACTCTACATTTGCTACGATGGCTATTTCTCAGTAGCCTGTGTTTCGTCGCACGCCCCTTTGGGTATTTGACCGGTTCATTCTGTCGTCTCTCAAAGGAGTGCTGCGAGAAGTGGTGGTGCTCCCGTTACTGTCTGTACGACGATGTTTACGGCTAAGTTCTGGAGGTAAAATCTGCTTTACTTCGCCTCTTATGGCTTCGAACTAATAGCAAGATTAATGAAGAAAGTAAGTTCCTTGATTATCAAAATGACAACGAAAGAATGAGATGAAGAAAGTTAATAACTTTCTCAGACTTGAACTTTTGTGCTAAACACACACTCACGCACACGCACTCTGACAGCTCCAACATCTTATATTCTCATTTCTCCCTCATAAAAAATATGCACATTGCAAGAGGTCAGAAATTGATCACAGCTTAAGAAAACATTTATATGTTAAGAATCAGAGTTTACAACAGAAAGATCATGTTAGAAAATGAAAGAAATTACCTCTTGAAGCAGCAGATCAACAAACATATGAACCTCTCTTGGCTCCTTGTGCTATCATAAAAGGAGAAGCTCAAAACATTAGCTAAACTTATGAAGGGTATATATTTTGAACTATTCACTGCAAAAATTTTACGGAATTAACTAACCTTAACCCAGTTTGGTGTTGTAAACCTTGTCCGCAACAGAACTGATATCTTTTGAGTTCTTAACCTTACATACTGAAAGAAAAAAATAAAGTACTCAATGGCTACTTTTTACATCAGATTCAGAAATTTATATTTACTTCAAGCAAGGATTCCACTTCCATCTTCCATTCTCTTAGGCAAGATATGGCTTCAAAGGATTTGATTGTGTCCATAATCTAGTGAGCTAGGGTAATAGCCCTCCAAAATTCACTAGACAAATGTGAAAAGTAGAGTTTTTGCATGTAGAAATTGAAGTTTTGAATGAGAACAAGAAATTTGGCTTCTTTGAAATAATAATATGAGATAGAT